TAAAAGGCATTAGCAGAATAGAAAAAAAAAAATTAAAGTCTAATGATAAATAAACATCTAGGAGTAAAGAAAAGAAAGAGTATAGCAAAATTTTCTGTTTTATTTAAAACATAATTTAGATTCACTTTTTTTCCTTGTCAGATTCCTGATTCCTATGAAAATGCAAAAAATAAAATTCAGTTTTTAGATATTCCAGGATTTTTAAACCAGATATTTTAGGAAATTTTGTTACTCTTCTAACTTCTCACTACTCCTTAATAGGTCTTAAAATCTCAACAATGAAGCAAAAGCTAAACACATCTCTGCTTATTTGAACATGGAATAAAGCCATAAAGCCAACTTGTTACCTGTTATCTTCCTTTCTTTTGTAAAACTTCTTGTTTTGGAACAAAAATAGTTTGGTTTCAAGGAGAACGTCTAATACAAGATTGTGCAAAAGTGACAATCTAACAATTTTTCCTTAATTCAGTTGACCACTACCTACAGCTTTCTTCAAAAGTACTTCATAAATGGAGATTGTATTCCAAGGCACAGTAGGAGTTAAACTATATATACCTTGATGTTAAAAATGAAATATGGAAATATAGCCATTTTCAATTTTATATATATAATTATATAATAGCCAAATTTGAATTATATTCTGTTAAAGGGAGATACCCAATTGTCTATATTGAGTAAGCAAAATTGTCACGTTGTCACGAATTCCTGACACTCTACATCTAAGTTTTAAGAGTCTTGTTTTCAGATATCAATTATGAAATTATAAGTTTTCTCTTACATCTTTAAATTAATAAGCTTTTTAAAGAGACCTTATTAATAGGAAAAATTCTAAGATTGTATTTCATCAGTACATATTAATTTGAAACTATTTTGTGGCTATTGGAAAATGAATTTTTTTGTTGAACATCCAAATTTCAATTTCAACATTCACTTTTTTACTTCTACTCAAAAACACCATTTCTTCTATTTTCAAACTCTATGTGTTAACATATATTTGAACACACACATGCATTAATAACAAATTTGCAGATGCCTCGTAAAATGTCAGTGTTTTAAGAAGTGAATATATTCATTTAAGTTCACATCAAATCTAAAGGTCTTTTGGGGGATTGGTGTTTAGAAAATTCTTGATACTTTAGTCTCTTCCACAATGAAAAGTAAAGCATTCTATCACAAAAGCAGGGAGGATGAGACACAAGGTCAAAGGGCATTTTAGAAACAAACAGCTGGACCAGTTTATTTAAACAGATAGAGGGATGGGGGGAACTGACCTCAGTTTGACTTATAGTGGGAGGAGCAAGAATGTCATTTTATTACTTTGCCTAGAAGGAAAATGTTTTTGTATCTGAACTCACCCCTGAAGCCATCTAAACACATGGCTCTGCTATATGTAGCCTAATTCTAAAGAGAGAAAATGTGTGAGATAGTCTGGAAAACCTACTAGGGAGAATCAAATGTTGTGACGGTGTTAAAATCAAAAAGGTGGTGGTGTTTTAGAAAATAAAATATTTTGCCGTTTAATTATTTTTTTTCAGATAAAGATGTCCGTGATATCCAGATGTTCATGATCTCAGATAATAATACTAGTTTTTCCTAAAAGTGTAGGAATTGTAATTCAGTAATGTTCCGAGAACTTACCGTGTCTCATATGTATTGATAATATTTCATTACATTAATTCTTTTAAAAAAATTATAGGTTTCATAAACAAGAAGTTCCAGGTGGGCCTACTAAAAATCATCAGTTCAGACAAAAAGATTACATTTTCTGTGTTTCTGTTTTTTTAATGAAAGGCTCCCCACTTTGATTATCTATATAACCTACGGATATCTTAAATCTGTGTTATGAACAAAAACAAGTAATATTAGGTGCTGGTGACTCACACCTGTAATCCTAGCTACGGGGGAGGCTGAGTTTGGAAGGATTGTGGTTGGAGGTCAGCCAGGGCAAAAACTTGGCGAAATCTCTAGCTCAACCAATAGCTGGACTTAGTGATGTGTGCCTGTCATTCCGCCTACATCAGGAAGGGTAAAATAAATAGCACAGAGGTCTAGGCTGCCCTGGGCAAAAAAGACCCTATCTCCAAAATAACCAGAGCAAAAAAGACTGGAGGCATGACTCAAGAGCTAGAGCAAGTGTGAAGTACTGAGTTTAAACCCCAGTCCAGGGGTGAAGGTGAGGTGGGGGAGGAGTAAATAGTACTTAATACCTGTGGGCACTTAGCTAAGAGGCTGTGGTAAGTTTGTGGTAGGGTATTTGTCCTCTACAATGGCACATGGAGACCAGAGCAAGGCCTGGAATAAGGGTAATTAATGGTGTCCTCTGCAAGCCTTCAGGGAGACATGACAAACCTCAGCAAACTGAGCAGAGAGTGGCCCAGGTGATAAGTGGACTTAAAATACTAGAAGGACTTACCTTCTAGAATGAACTTTTTAAGAACCATGGATGTTTAGCCTAGGGAGAAGTTAGAAGCCTACAGGGCATGATAATTATGTTTAAATATTTGTCAGGCTATCCTAAGGAAGAAAGACTATAATTGTTTAAATTACCCCCAAGGAGTTGTACTGAAAGATTTTAGACCAGATAAAGAGGACTTCTGACAGCTTGGCTTGTCCAAAGATGGAATGGACTCTCAGGTACAAAAGCAGTGACTATTCATCTACTTGATGGGGATTTCACAGAGGAGACTCATGTCTTTGACCAAAGTAGATAACTGTTCAAGCCCTTTCTAAATCTTACTTGTAATTTTTCTATGATTTCCTGGGTTAAATAGTTATGGACTTGAACCCGAGTTGATTACATGAATTGGTCTATGGGAGTCAGAATGTGTGAGCATGAAGGAGACAAACTTTGGAATATGAATAAACTGAGTTACTGAATCTGTTTAGAGTTGCCTTGTCTTTGTTTACATATACGAGCAGTGCAACCATCAAAATTCCCAGTCTCTAAGATGTTCACCGTCATGCTAATTCCCTGACTTAGCACTGGGTTTTATGCCAATGATAATCAAATCAAAATCAGCTAATTTTTTTAGATATCTCAGTCTGGAATATTCTAGATGGGTGGCACAGCAGTGGCCATGTTCTGGTCACAGCATTAAAGAGGAGAACATTCACTATCATTTGCCATCTGTGTGTTATTCAGAAAATTATTGATATATCTTTGGTAACATGTACTCTCAAATAAGTCATTTAATTTCTCTGAGCCTTGGCTCCTCATCTCTTAAAAATGGTTCTTCCTCATTTTAGGAAAGTGGTGTGAACCCTTACCCGTAACACATTATGTTTTAATATTATGTTGAAGAAGAAAGTTAACAGACCAAGTTCCTTCCTTATAACAGAAGATCACGAATAGTACTATAGATAAGGAGTTGTTTTTTTGCTCTCTTATGTTAGTTACTATGAAAATTACTTTTGGTATATGCAGAATATAAATATTAAATAATTTTCTAATTGGTCATGCAGTGCAGGCGGCTAATGAAAAAGCAGATTTTTTTTTCATTTTAATTGGTTATTTCACATGGTGTTTGTGCTACACCTGTGCTTATAATGAGAATGGAGAATTAATCTAACCTTCTGCTCACACGATTCCAATTTTCATGGTTTATACAAGATAATGATAACCTGATTTGCAAGACAATTTGTTGTAGAGCTGTATCTTAAATATTTTTATTAGCAGTTCAGGGACTTCTTATACAAGAACTGATGATATAAGATACGTGGCCAATAAGGGCACCAATAGTGTGCCTTTTAGTTAAGACTACAGCTTCATTATTTATTTTAATTACTTCTCAGATGATGAAAGAACATAAGAAAATATAATATATTAAGACTCTTAAAATGTTATGAGGTATGCATTTTTATTTTAGAGACCTGCCCTTGTCATTTAATGGTTTGGTTTTTAGGAACTAGTTTCCTTCCTCAAGTGAGCAGATGTACAAACTAGAATTCATACTGGACCATAGATTCTTTAATTATTAATAGTGCATTATTAAACTTTTCATTGTATTTTTATGTCCCTCTCAGATTTGAATATATCAAATCTAAAAGCAGTTTACTATTTCAGAATCTAATATGCCCTCTTCATTTTCTGTATTTGATATGTAATTCTTATTGCTTAAAATGAGTGGATCTTAAGAGTAAGAATCTCATGACATGACTTTGGAGAGTTTATGTTATCCACTTTTTAATAATTCAATGATTCATCATTTTTTGGAGGGGGCTACAAATATAATTGTATCAAAAAACCTCATTCAGGCACTTAAAGTGACTTAAATGTCTTAATAAGATGTTTATGAATTCTCAGTGGTAGCTGGAGAAAGCAAGATTATAAGTTCAATTACTGTATAGCTGTGACCTTGCCTTGACCTCAGATTTTGCATAAAGAGTAGGAAAAAAAAAAAAGCTACCTCAAGAAATCTCTACAAGGAATGCATTTCTCTGAAGTCCCCAGCAGTGAGTTAGTGGTGATAAACTCCAGACATTCTCTCATTTGATGGTGTGCTGCCATCCCAGTTCATTATCTTAATAGTGGGCATTAAAATAGAATTAGGTTTGCAAAAGGTAGGGGAGGTCTGGTTAAAGAATTGTGAAAAAGAAGTCATAGAGCCTAAGATTGAAATGTCACTAATTTGGAGAGCATCTCACTCTGTCCACCAAGTCCACCCCCCTTCGAACTGAAAAGAGTGGTGATTAGCATTGTTTCCTGAAAACTCTGCTAATTCCCCCATGAAAAGATGAAATGGAAGTGTCCAACTGTGGTAAAACAGGCAAACATAAATCAACTCAGAAACCCCAAGCCTTGTACTCAGAGGTCACGGGGGTTATAGGTTTTGCAGCATCGAAGCAGTACATAGAGCTGGGAGAGAAAGGAGGCAGTCCCATTTTGCCAAGATCTAGCCTTGCCTCACTGTGATTCATCTCGCCTCTTTCCTCCAACTTTTTGCTTTCTTTCTTTCTTTTTTTTTAAGGAATAATGATTTGCCTTACTTTCTTGGTTACAG